ATATATATTAAAAAACCACTTCTGACCTCGAACTGTACCTTCTTGCGAAGGGGACTGAAAAGCCGACTCTTTTAGCCCAACTCTCACAAAAGCTTCAACAGCAATAAACACATCCACACCAAAGTTTCTCGTATTTAAGGAGGGATCAGGCCAGGCTCCCACAAGACATGTCGGACAGAACACAAATCTCGTTCTTTCCTTTCTCGCCCCCCCTCCTCTTGTTCTTTCCGCCCAGTGGTCATTTTCCTTTCCCTTTCAGAGCTCCTGTGATCAGATGACCTTGAGCAAGGACTGAAAGAATAATATGCTATTTGCTGAAGGAAAATATGCTAGACAGAAATTTAGCGACTGAGTAGGTGGCTTGGTGTTTAGTCATGCCGGCCACATGATTTTTTTCCCCGCCCCATGCTCCCAGCAGCCCTCAGTTGGGCCATGAGGAACAAGAAGCAGCCAGGTAAGTTGCAGAGCCCCCCCTTTCAGGTACAAGCTCTCCCTCCTCTGTGAGGGCAGATCTGCACGTTCCCCCTCCAATAGCTAGCAATCCAAAACAGTCCAGTGGAGCCTGAGCGGTGGGTGTTGCCTTCAGACACACTTCCGGTGATGACAGGGGGTGTGGCACATGCAAATAAGTTATGCTAATGAGCTCCTGCACCTCTTTTTCTATGAAATGACCCCTGCTGGTCACTGTCTAGCATCAGAGAGGGAACATTATTCACTTGAAGTCTATTAAACGAAGAGTGCGTTAAAAGCGGAGAGACCCAACAGTTCCTAAAAACGGTAAAAAGAGACACTCCAATAATTTGTGAAACAAGAGTGTCGATTTTACCCCGACTGCAAGGGCAGAGATGATCTGAACATGGAACACGATGAAACCTGCCCGGTGATGCTTCAGAGGGGAAGGTCTAAAGGGGAGCTAAAGCAAATGTGCTAACGAGGTGAGGGGCCATTAGGTGTCTCATGTACAATGGCAGAGTCTGAGGAGATAAAATGAAGATCTTTCAGTGCACCATACCTTACTTCATTGCTAGCACTGTCTGGATCTTGTGCGGTCACGGTGCCCACAATGGTCCCAATCTTGGCATTCTCGTGAACGTCCATGACGTAGGAAGGCAAAGTGAACACTGGAGGCTCATCCACGTCGCCAACACTAATCTTCAACATAGTTACATCTTTAAAAGGTCCTAAGTGTGAGAAGCGGAAATCGAGGTGGGTATTTGCTCCTTCTATATTAAGAGTATAAGATTTCTTTTTTTCATAGTTGAGAGGCTGTGGGAAGAAAAGAAATTGAGCGTTACCGCTGCGCGTCTGGACTTCGTGATCTGCAAGATGTATTCCCTCTCTACCTTATTTGCAACGTGAGGCGGGCTTGCTACCGGCAGTGTGGTTCACATCACATGAACTGCGGGGCCTGCGAGCCGGGAGCCAGACTAGCCTCCCACAGGGCATCCTTGATAGCATTATGCACCTGACTTATCCTATCCATGGGCACCAAAAGCCACTTCAAGTCCAAGGGAAAAGAGTCTTCCAAAAGACCCCCCCCCACGACCCGAGTTTGAGCAACTCTCCAGGGAAAAAGCTGAGAGCAACATCAAGAACACCTCTCTGTCACCCTCGCAGCTCTGCCTTGATTCACAGATGCCGTTTAAGGTGATTCCTGGTCAATGCTGGCATGTAAGGATGGAGTCACTTTTCCAGACATGCCGGGTCAAGGCCATTTAGAGTTCTGTCGTTTGTCTCTGCTGCCTTGAACTGAGCCCAGGAGACAACAGAAAGCAGCCAGGGAACCCGGGGGCGGCATTCTCTCCATTACCCTCCACATTTGGAAGGTAGCCTGCAGTGCTCTGTACTAGCCGGGACTTCCAGATCATTACCGGGAGGAGCCTGATGTGAATGGCATTACAGCAGTTTAGCCTCAATGTTATAAAAGCACGGACAACTGTGAAAGGCAGCAGCTTTCTTTCCTAGTGAAGCCGGTGGACAGCACTCTGGGTCACAGTTCAATATGACTTGCCGGGTCTTCAAAACAACAACCGATCAAGGCTGGTGCTGCACCTGGCATTCGCTCCACATTTTCTCAACACTGAGGGAAAAGGGGCAGCTCTAAACCACACTCAATACCCTGGGGCAACACCGTACCCCTGAACGGCCATAAAATGGCCATACATCTATGCCGGGAAGGTACCATAAAACCAGACGATCAAAGAAAGCAGAAGTGGCATGCAATGCATGGGTGCCATAAAATCCAATGATCAAAGGAAGTGAAAGCAGCCTGCCAATGCAGAGGGGGATTTCTGTTCCAACGCGGGTTTGCTAAAACAAGGGAGGGAAAAGCCAATGCAGAGTTGCCCCGATTGCCCCTTGGGGATTGCGACTGCACCGTGGACATGGCTCTCAAAAGACAGCAACAACAATGGCAGCTCTTTTTGGGCTCACAATAGGGTTGCCAAGTGGCACCTACCCTGCCCGCGGGGGACTTCCGTTTGGATTCCGGGGGGAACCCCGCCCCAGCGTGCACGTCACAGGGAAGTGACGTCATGATGCCGTTCCCTTGTATGGCCGTGGCCCCGCCCCCAGCATGCTCGGCGTCACTCCCTGGGACGTGCACGCTGGGGCGGGGTTCCCCCTGGGGCCCGATTGCCCGACGTCGGGGAACGGGCCTCTGGGGCGGGGGGGGGGTTTCCGCCCCCCGGGGGGACTTGGCAGCCCTAGCTCACAATCCAAGAGCTCTATGATCCACCTGAAGGCCCCGCTCCATGAAGCCTACCGCTCTAAGGAGCCAAGATGGTGAATGTGCCTCCCCCTTTATTCTAACAGCAACACTCTAGATTAGGTTATATATTGCCCTGCAAGGCAGTGAATGTGCTCTTATGGACTTTATAACCCATAAGTGATAAAATGGATTGTGCAAGCAATGTGCAAATAGGGACCGAACTGTGTGGTAACCCAAAAAGGATACCACCTAGACACACACCCAGAAGCAGAAAGCTTTCCTGTATGTTGTGCCAATGGTTCCTGGAAGTTACCTGCCCTCTTGCCTGCTGTAAGATGGACCAGCTCCCTAGCCATGTGACACACTGTAAACCCAGAGAGAAGACCAGAAACAAAGAGCTCCAAATGCCATAAGGAGCTCCCTCTGACACCCGCAGGCGACCCCCCCCAACACACACCCATACATCTACCTGCAAGACTGCACGTAACCAAGAGGTTCTACACATGGTTGCTTGGAAACTAATCTCTCGCCCATCAACAGGCTCGGCTAAGTCCATCAAGAAACGATAGCCCTAGCTCGGTGACTCATACCCTCTTCACCCAGGCGCCACTCTCCAGTCCAAGTTACTAGCTCTCAATATTGACCACTCCCTGTCCCCTCCCCTGGTTCTTTGTACCCAATAGGTGTGTTTTTGGGACGGACTAGTAGGAGGTGGGCCAAGACATGTGACCAGCCTGGCACAACACCCAAGCCCCCCCTTAAAAGGGACACCCAGCCATGTGCTCACTCTCTTGCTCTCTCTCTCTCTACACCCCCTCAATGACCTCTATACTCTCTGACTCTCATTCTAGTGGCTACCTTGCTACCCAACCTACCCCAGGCTCTTAGTCCGCACCTAAGGCCTACCACATGCTTTCTGCTGGTTCAGTCTGTAGCATAATCCCCATTTTTCTAGTATTCCCTTATTTTTCCATTTGGCAAGCTTCATCTCTTCGGATCAGGTAACGTATAGCCAAACCAACGAATCTCCTGCTAATGCGATTGTGCTATCCCAATCTCTCTAAGTTTCCTAGCCCTGTATAGGTGTATGTGTGTTTGTGTAATGTCTGAATGTGCATAAAATACAGTAAAAGACTTTGATTTAAACTAATATCAGCCTGCTCGTCTGTTACTGGTGCTCTGGATAAGTGGCAGCCTCTGTAGATAAAGGTGATCGCTCCCTTATGCCAGTTGCTATTATAAATAACTCATATTCCCCCAATATTGATAAGGAATCAGAGCAATTTGGCTAACATATGACTGGCCCAAAGTCACTCACAACACCGTGCTACCTTAATTTAAGTCCTGCCTCCTTTTGTTGGAAACTGTGTATGGCTCTTTGAATCAATGCACTGGCTGCATTTATGGCAAAAATAAATGGGGATCATCAAGATGGTATTCAACTGTGTGAATGTATGTTTCAAAACAACATAACTGAGTATTTACTTCTAGGTGCAGAGGGAGCAGCTGTGTGTGAATTGAAATTAAGGAATAGCAGAGGTTATTGGTGTCAAGCTCGGGGCTCGCAAAAGGAGCAATGGGCCGAGATGGGATTGTGGGATGCTGTCAGCAAGCTGCCAATGTGTTTCCCTGTACTCTGTGTATGCTCTTATGTTTCACTAGGCTCTGTGTGTATTCGTCTGTATCCTTAGTCTTTCGGTATGCGCTTGTTTGCATTCACTTTCCCATGCATGCCTGTTTATATGCTTAATTGCCTAGTTGCAGGAACGTCCGTATCTCTCAAGGCCACAGGTGATTGCCGGCAGGTAGTAGCTTGAGTGACCTCATGGCTTTATCCATGAGAAGCAGTATGTTATGATTAAGTAGGAGCGTTGCTTCCCAGGCTCAATGGCGCATGGGGGAAGTCCCACAATTGGGCCTCAGCTTTTTGAATTAACTATAATCTCTTGGAATCCATGCTTATGCCTCATTCTGAACAGTGATCCTGTTATGCACCTATTGCTTCAAATATAGAAACCTCTTTTCTGCAAGTGTGTTCTTCGTTGATGCGATGGGAGTCTGACAGATGCCCCTGACTGGGCTACTCCCTCCCTAGGAGCTGCCGGAGTCTGCTGGCGGCAGCTGGATGAGGACCGACGCCGGGTCTCTGGAGTGGTTCACGAGGACCTCGATCGCCTGATGGCAGTGAGGCATCGCATGGAAGAAGTGGACACTGAGCACATCCGGCAGGAGCTGAAGACCGAGATTGCTGAGCTGCACAGAGACACCCGGGCTGCCGTGGACGGCCTTCCCGAGGCCATGCGTGATGACCTGCAGCAGGAGCTTTGTGGCTTGAGACTGCAAGGGGGAGCAGGAGCCGCTCCAGTTCAGTGGGCTGGGGGTGCACCTTCAATGGCCTCCCTTTGTGCCCTGCTCCTGTGCCCCCCAGAGATGCGCTGGAAGCTACCTTCGATGGGACCCCGGAGAAGCTGGCCTTCAGTGTATGGTCTACTAAGACCCCTAGATCCTTTTCGTACATACTACTGCCAAGACAAGTCTCCCCCAACCTATAATTATGCATTTGATTTGTCCTACCTAAATGCATAACTTGACATTTTATCCCCATTGAAATTCATTTTATTTGTTTCAGCCCAGTTTTTGCAGCCTGTCAAATCATCCTGTATCCTGACTCTGTCTTCTACAGTATTTGCTACCCCTCCCAATTTAGTATCATCTACAAATTTAATAAGCATTCCCTCTATCCCTTCACCCAAATTATTGATAAAAATGTTGAACAAAACAGGTCCCAGGACAGATCCTTGAGGCACTCCACTTGTCACTCCTCTCCAAGAGGATGAGGAACCATTCACAAGCACTCTTCAGGTGCGATCTGTCAACCAGTTACAGATCCACCTAACAGTCATAGGATTCAAACCACATTTTTCCAATTTGTCAACAAGAATATTCTGTGGAACCTTATCAAAATCCTTACTGAAATCAAGATAAACTATTTCTACAGCATTCCCGTGATCCAGCAAGGTAGTAACTTTCTCAAAAAAAAAAAGAGAGAGATGGTTAGTCTGATATGAGTTGTTCTTGAGAAACCCATGCTGGCTCTTAGTAATTACAGCTTTCCTTCCTAAATGCTCAAGGACTGTCTGTTTGATTATTTGTTCTAAAATTTCCCCAAGTATAGATGTCAAGCTGATGGGTCTGTAGTTACCCGATCCCCCTCTTTCCCCTTCTTGAAGATGGGTACAACATTTGCCCATCTCCAGTCTTCTGGCACCTCACCTGTTCTCCCAAGAGTTCTCAAAAATAATGGATAGAGGCTCAGAAATTACATCAGCAAGTTCTTTTAGTATCCTTGGATGCAGCTCATCTGGCCCCAAGGACTTAGTTTCATTTAAAGAAACTAGGTGTTTATGTACTCTGCCCCACAGAGAAGGGGGAATTGAGAAAGTTTATAGACAAGATCTTGGCTAGAGGGTTTATCAGACCTGTGGTTTCCCTTTCATCACCCCAGTACTTTTCCACAAGAAGAAAGATGGGGGGTTAAGATTATGTTCTGATTACTGGGGTCTGAATACCATACCAATGTCTAATGCCTACCCCATCCTGCTAATCAAGGACTTGCTGGCAGAAGTCGCAAAAGGGCAAGTTTTCACTAAGCTGGACTTGCGGGATGCTTACTTTAGAGTGCACATTCATGTGGGAGATTAATACAAGACTGCCTTTAACACCCCACTGGGGCAATTTGAGTACTTGGTGATGTCTTTTGGGCTCTCTGGGGTGTTTATGAACTTAATCAACGAGGCGATACACAAATACTTGTTCAAAGGGGTGCTTGTTTTCCTAGATGACATGTTGAATTATACCAAAGATAAGGAATCACATGTGCAACTGGTAAGGAAGGTCTTAAAAACCCTTCACCAAAACCGGCTGTTTGTGAAACTGTCTAAGTGTGAATTCCACAAAGAGGAGTTGGACTTACAGGGCTATCAAATTTCAAGAGAGGGACTGGGGATGGATCCGGATAAAGATGTGTTGGGGTGAGAGGCCCCTCAGACACGGAGGCAGCTACAAGCCTTCCTGGGTTTTGCCAATTTCTACTGGCCATTCATTCCTAACTTTGCCCAGCAGGGCTTGCCTTTGACAGGCTCACTGAAAACTAGAGGA